CGTGTCCCAGCACACCGGTGTCCCACGTGCTGTGTGTACACAGAAATACACATTTGTAGGTGCTAAATCCATACTGATCAGCTTATCTGGGCACACAGGCCTCAGGTACAAACAGCAGCAGCGTTTTGTCTCCCTGATCTGCGGATCAGCTCACACAGGATCTCTGCACCGTGCCCTTCTTTCCACTCAGTGCTCTGGGCACCGAGTGTGGAGCATCCCTGGGCTGGTGCCAGGGGCTGCCCCTCTGATCCACCTGCACAGGAGAGGGCGAGGGAGGGGATCAGATGTGGGCTTAGAAATCTCTGATTAGTTGGAGTTCCATTGTAGATTACCAAAAGTTCCAATATTTTGCCTTTCAGTGCTGTCAGTCACCCCCAGTAACCTGTGGGAGTTGAGGAATTTCAGCACCTCGGCAGATTAAACCTCAAGAGCAAAGCTGTCACCCAGGTCTTTGTCATGCAAACTTGAGGGCAGGTTCAATAACATCCTGTTCCTCTTCTGCATTGCAGAAGCCTTGAAAAATTGATTTTCTGTTTTGCCACTGAGTTCAGTGGAATCAGACTTTAGCCCTCCAAGGGAATTGTATTCCTGTAGATTGCAGCTACTTCTGAAATCCTTAATGGCACATCCTTAAATAGCAAACTTTGTGACAGACCAGGCAAGGGTGCAGAATTTGCTGGGTATTGTTGACCATTACTGGGTTATTAACTCTCTTTATGGTCAGGGATACCCTTTTTTTTTCCCCTTTCAAAATGCATTTCACAGACTTAAAGGCCTGATCCAAAATGCACGGGAATAAATACCAATTTGTGTATTGATCACCAGAAAAGGATTTTTAAGGGAGTTGATCACTGCTTATAGCAGGAATGCATTTTTAAAAGAAACAAGAAATGTAACCTTAATCCAGGGAAAATTCTTTCTGAAGCAGCCAGAGCTTGTTAACACAGCCAACACCTAAGGCAGCATTGTGTCCTTAAGCTCTACTAATATTGAACAATAATAATTTTGGTGGAAGAAAATCTTCCCCCTCTCCCTGAGCAGAAACAAGACTGCCATCCAGAAAGATGAATGCTGTGGCTCTCAGAGTCTATTAATATTTGATGCTGATGGATGTGAGCTGGCAGACTGAGTTATTAATGGAGTTTTGTTCCTTGGACCTCACCCTCAGTCCATGGGGAGAATTAACCATAACAAGAACTGGATGCCCAAAGCTCTTGGGGTGCTGGGAAGGGCTGTTAGTTCCAGCAAAAATGGGAATTTCTGAAGTGTTTACAGGCTGCTTAGATCACTGCCACCATTCATTCTGATTTAAAGGGGACTTTTAGGGTCCCAGGAATTGTAGATTCCCTCCTCTATCTTTGCCATGTTGGGGTGGTCCCATCAGGTCTGGATTTCAAACACGAAGAGACTCAATGGTGTTAATTTCTGAGCAGGAGTGAGGTGTGGGACACTGTCCTTGGTGGCACTGAGGTGGCCTCTCCCAAGTTGGGGGATCTGTGATGCAGAGCAGAGAGCAGCAATGTGCTGCTCCCACAGCTGGCCTTGGCCCCACATTCCATAAAGAGAGTTTTTCCATTGTTAAAGTCAGATTCAAATTTGATCCCTGAAATTAGAAATAATCCAGGGATTAAATTTGAGGGTATATTTTGATGAACTGGCTCTTCTAAGTGAAAATGTTGAAAATGAAGCACCTTGAAAAGTTTGTGATGTCATATGGGTCATTCTGATTTAGAACATAAAGATGGAAAATACCAAGTTATTTATAGCCCAATTTCTTAATATAGCTTTAACTTTTCCATGGGTATATGTTTGATTGAATTAGCTACTCCTTCCTAGCATGGATACCACATCCAGGCATTGCACTATCCTCATTAACCTCCCCACCTTAATAGAAAAAAAAAAAAAAAGAATAATCAACATAAGGAGCACAGCTGTTGATTAATTTTACTAAATAGGATAGAAATATAAAGTACCATATTGCAAGAGTGAAGATTCAATACACACAATTTGAAATCAGTTTATTAGAATATATAACTCATTAACAGCTGGATGCATACACTGCAGCATTAGCCACTCGGGCAGGTGGTGAGAGGGGGGTGGAATTTACATATCTTTAACAGTACCTGAATGCATTTCATTTCAGAGGTCATTCTCCCAAATCAAGTTCAAAATGTTAATAACAAGGTGTGCATTTATAATTAATAAAATCTTAGAGCCAGTGCTATAGTTCAAGTACATTTTCCTCTTATGTAATTAAGAAGTTAAGTGTATTTGGCAGTTGTCACTCAGAGAGCTCTGAAGGTCTCGCCTGCCAAACCTGGGGATAGAAATCTCATTAAACCAGGTATTTTTTTTTTTTCAGTTAAGGTTTGTTTGCAAAGTACGTGAGTGGATGGTGGGCAGCCAGAATGCCCAGCTCTGTCAGTCCATAAAGCCAAGTACATTAAAGTAAATGCCAAAACTCAAAGGCTTGGAATAAACAGCCTCATGTTCATCTTGTGAGAATCACAGAATCACAGACTCTTTAAGGTTGGAAAAGGCCTCAAAGACCACCAAGTCCAACGACCACCCAGCAGCACCACTGTGTTCACCACTGAACCATGGCCTCAAGTGACACATCCACACGTGTTTTAAAGATTTCAGGAATGGTGATTCCACCACTTCCCTGGGCAGCCTGTTCCAATGCTGACAGCCCTTCCTGTGAAGAAATTTTCCCTAATATCCAATCTAAACCTCCCCTGGTGCAACTTGAGGCCATTTCCTCACCTTATTGTCCTGTCACTTGTTATCTGGGAGAAGAGACTGACACCCACCTCACTACGACCCTTTTTCAGGGAGCTGTATCCCCTTTCTTTGGGATAATCCCAAGTGATTACAGAAAACCATTGAATCCACTCCAGTTGTGCCTGGCCAGGGAGCACTGCCCCCTAACACGAGCTGCTCTGTGGTCACAGAACCTCAGCTGAGATGTTAGAAATCCTCCTGCTGCCTCCAGCACTGGCCCACATGGTGTTTCAGAGGTGTCAGGATGTGGGGATGTGGTTTTGGGGTGATTGATGGTTGGATTGGATGATCTTGAAGGTTTCTCCTAACCCTGATGATTCTGTGGTTCTGTGGTTCTGTGGTTGGTTAACATGATTCCCAAAGGGGCATTTTAACTCTACATCACTCTGCTCCCCTTTCCTTTTCAAAAGGAATTTTCTTTTCCTTCTGGATCACTAGTTCAAATCCACATAAGGTCAGTTGTCATAGAAATTATTAGCAGTACCAGCAGTTCTGTGTAGTACATGAAATGAGTTGGGAGTTTCATTCACACAGGATAAGGGTTCCTAAGTGGCACTAATTGGCTGTCTAATTGTCACACACAGGAGAAAGGCAGAGGATTGATTAGGCGTGGAGACTGAATGCCCCTCTGCCAGCCCGGGTTCCTGGAGCTCATTCCATAGGCATGCTGGCAGGGTAATGAGGGGCAGCCTGCTTTGGATTTTCTGGCTGTCAAGGCAGCATCTTTTCCTGCCAGGCCTTTTCAGGGGCACTTGTTTTACTCCACCAAGGTCAAAGATAGCATCTTTTACAAATAGTGCCTTCACTCAAAAATCAGAGACTTGCAGGATTTACTTGTGAGCAGTTATTTTAACCATTTCCTTTCCTTCCCACTGAAACAAAGCTTTTGGTCTAAAATAGGATGAGTCACACTGGTGCGAGGCAGAACTGCTCCAGCAAAGCAGATGGGAGTTTATGGTGCTCAGAAATCTGTTCATATTTCCTTGTGCTGTCTGGGTGTCTGCTGTGTGATATACAGGCTCCTGGAGGTACTTGTCACAGCATAGGGAAGCTGACATGGTGCACATTTCACACCTGATAAATGGATCCCCCTATCGAACAGTGAAGCCTCTTACCTCCAAAAATACATTTTGACCAATATCTTTTCCCCTCAGCTATGGCATAGGTCACACCGTGCAATGGAGTTACTTTTTAACTTGTAGTAGTTCACTTTCCCTGGCATAGAACTAAATTATTTAAGTTTGACTCACTGAAGTAGTAAATTTAGGAGCTAATTTGCAATGTGAAAGTAAGGATTACACACAGAGGAAAAGGAAGCAGAAATACCTTGTATATGTTAATGTGTGGACCCAGCTATGGGACTCAGTAAGTTTACTAAGGCTTAAACCTCAATTAGTGAGGTTAAACCACAATTGCTTTAAACCTTATTGTGCTCACATTTTAATTCCCTTGTTGTATCAGATGAACAGTATTAGTAAGAACTGTGTCTATCTTTCAACCGCACAATCAGTGCAATACAGCACACCAGAATGTAGTGTTAGAGCATTCTATATTCTGTAAAATACAAGTATTTATATTCTCCTTCCCCCCCTTTGCCCACACCTAGAGCAGAAATAAGAGAGACCATGTTTCTGTGTTCTGCTGTGTGCCTCCTGTCTCTGACATACACATCACTCCTGCTCTGCCTTCTCCTGAAGTCACAATCTCATGCAAATTAATTGAAAACAAATGCAGGTACCAGCTACGCATCAAGAAGGTCTGATGCACCTGCCATGTCGTTTTCCTCTCTGCCAACCCGTGGAAGACAAGCATGTATGAGATCTGTTGGGTTTTTAACAACCCTATTCTTAGAATATATTTTCCAGGAACCGCAGAGCAATCTCTGCACGGTTTCAGACTGTATATTTTGTGATTAGTGTTTCATAAGTGATGTTTTGCTTAATGATCTAACATCTGCTCTAGGAGGTTTGTTTTTGTAACTTTCCCACCTCCTGCTGAATGAATGCCAGAAACTTGTCCCTTTCCTCCAAGTCAATCAAAGCACTAATTGCATCATAATCATGGGAAGCAGCGGTGACTGCTCGAGTGCTGAAGACTCAGCAATCAACTCACAACACTCTGCTCACAGTTCGGAGAGAGAAAGCTTCCCTGTGCCGAGCTGGGAATTTCCTGCATGCCACATTTCTTTAGCTGACTCCGACTTTGCTGGGTTGCAGGGAGATGACTGCACCATTCCCTGCATGGCAGGAACCTACGGAACCAATTGCTCCTTGGTTTGTAACTGCAAGAACGACGGCACTTGTTCCCCTGTGGATGGGCTGTGCTACTGCAAAGAAGGTAACAAAATTCACATTTAACAAGTCCCTGCCGTCAATGCCTGTCCCCTCTGAACGTGGCACAGCTGTGCAGTCAGGAACTCCACTATTTTCTTGTCCTCCCAAGTGTCCCAGCTCAACAGGGGCTGGACTCTAAGTTCAGTCTCTGCCCTGAACAGGGGCCAGACTTCTCTGCTCTGCTGCAGAAATGTGTCACAGAACTGAGTGTGGGGGCAGAAGCACTGCTCCCCTTCAGGAGAAATGCAGAACAATCCCCTGGCTGCAGGGTTTTTATCCCTTTGCTGCCCAGATTCCAAAGCCACTGGGCACAGGAGTGGAGGCAGCTTCCTGTCCTGCAGCACTGGGCTGTGCTTGGCCTTGGTCATCCCCAGCAGCCCTGATCTAACTCCTGCCTGCCCATCTCCACCTTGGGCTGCTCTCATTCCTGCTGCCCTGGGCTCCTGGCTCATCCCAGCTGCCAGCCCTGCCCTTGGGCACTGTGGGGTGGGCCCTGGCTCGCTGCCCTTGCTGCCATCCTCAGCTGCTCATCCTCCTGTACCCTGGCGTGGTGACACCCCAGCCTTGTGCAGGTGTCCTCTGTCTCCTGAGCCAGCACAGGGTTCAGGAGGTGGCTTTCATTTATTATAATAAGAGGTCTTGCCTGATCCAGGGTGACTGACATCTTTTCTTCCCACCCGTGTCCATAATTCCCTCCTGGACGTGGTGGTGAGCACATCCCATGGATCAGAAACCACCTGAGAATTCCTCCACTGCTCCATGGCACAGTGGCTCTTCTGTTCCCCCAAAATCCCAATGTGAGCTATGCCTCTATGACATACATAAGCCCTAAAACAGAAGTGAGGCAAATAACAATAAAATCTGGCATTTCAAACATGAATTAATGGATCACTGTAGAACCCCATTTAATGAGGGTGTATAAACCATGAGTTACTGCTCAACTCCATGACATAGAGCTGCAGTGTAATGAAAGTCATTGTGCTCCTGGTAGTTAAGATTTGAGCCTTAATGGCTAGAAATGATAGCCTTGGTCCTTTTTTAGGTGTAATAGCTGCTTTATATTAAATAGCATTCTCAAAAAAAAAAAAAAATTAGGAAGTAAGACACAGCCAGCATCACATGAAAAGTTCTTGCAGTCCTGTAGGTCAGAAGATCTCCAGCCTGACAGACAGGGACTGTCCCAGCAGCTCCTAGAAAGGCATCAGGTACCTAAATCTGGTTACAGCCAAGACTGTGATACCTCCATCTGTGTGTAGAGATGCTGGGAGATGGAGCTGGAAGGTCACAATAAAAGGGTCGGTCTTCGACCCCAAGTTAGTTTTCATTTCCCCCAAGAAGCTGCTCCTAGAAACAAAGAGCTGCAGCTTACCAGCTGCCTGTCTTGCTGTTTTCATGAAAACATCCCAGATGCTGTTTGTCTGCCTTCTTTCCTTAGGGTGGCAAGGAGTGGATTGCTCTATTCCATGTTCAAGTGGAAGTTGGGGTCTGAACTGTAACCAGACGTGTTCCTGCAGCAATGGGGCGTCCTGCAGGCCAGCTGATGGCTTCTGCCTCTGCTCCCCAGGATGGCAGGGGGAGTTCTGTGACCAGCCTTGTCCTGTGAGTGCAAATAACAATTTGGAGTTAAATAACCATTTGTTATTTCGTTAATAATAATTAAATAACAACTCTTGCAAATAAGAATTTGGGTTAAATCACAGTCCCCATAGCTCTGCTGAACAGAGAGCAGGGCAGGATCTCAATTTGTCTGTGATGTCTGAAGGAAATCAAATGTAAATAATAGATTGGGGTTCTAGCAGTCAACTGGATGTATTATACTTTGCATTGTATTTTATCAGAGCTATTGCTGTGTTATCTGCATTTTCTTGAACGTCATTTTTTAAAGTGATTTCTCATTTGGTTCTGTATAGAAACATTAGGCACTGAGTTTCTATCTTCTCTGTATGTTAATTTAAAAAATGCAACTCAGCATGAAGAGGGACGTGATAGATGATTTTGCACATTTCAGAACAAAAAGCTGATCACTGAGAGGCTTTTTTATTTATATTTTGGAAGGATGGAACATATGGCCTTAATTGCAGCGAGCGTTGTGACTGCAACCACGCGGATGGGTGTGATCCTGTCACTGGGTACTGCTGCTGCCTTGCAGGCTGGACAGGTAAAATCAGCAATTACCTTTGTAAACCTTGGGAGTTGGCTTGATTTTGGGGTTTAGAGGGTTTTGTTGATTTGTTATTGCATCGGTTATAGCCCTGAACTTGTGACTGAAAAATTTCTAAATAATAGATTGAGACAAGATCAGCTGAACTTGCCCATATTTAAATCGCTCGTGATGGTGACAATAAGTGGCGTTCATTAAATTTGTATTCAGATGAGTTTGAAGATGGCTCCAAACTTGCAGCCAGATGTTAGCCTTCTGTAAAGGCATCCTCAGGAGGGATGCAGATCATTCATAATCCTGCAGAGTTTTTCTCCTTGAACTGCCCTTTCCACAGGGGTGCAGTTGTGGGATGGTGAATCCAGGACCATCATTCCTGCCATGCAGACAGGGCATTTCTGATGAGCCATTACAGCTGCTCCATCATACAAAACTCTGATTTTCCTCATTTTCCAATGGTTCTTGTCACAGGGTAGTTGCAGAGAGCAGATTAATGCTGATTTGACAGAACTCTTGTGATTACACAGCAACAGAGAGGAATATTCAGTGGAGAGTCCAGGGTGGAGTTCTCAGTACAATTAGACCTGCACTTGACTCCACACTGATATTCTCTTTGGCAGCTTTTGACAGCAGTAGGGGACAAGTTATTGACCCAACCATTTCACACTTTGCTGCCTAAGATGCTGGTTAATCTCTCTCTGCTCTCTGTTGAGCCCTGGGTGGAAATAAAGTTATGTTTCATATACTGCAGAACTATCAGTGGCACTGACAGTCAAAATGCTTTTATATTAACGGCAAGTCATTTGGAAAATTTAATTGTTTTTCAAGCTAGTACAAGTAGGAGGGATGCATGGAGCAAGGCAGGCTGATCAGGCAGCCAGCATTTGGGGTACTGTCACCTTTCCCATTGATTTATGCCTTAAACCAACACCTGCCTTCTGTTTCTGATGGAGAGGACATCCCACAGCAGCCCAGCTCCCAGGAGCATGAAGCAAAAGCAATGAAATTTTGCCTAATGCATACAATGGAAATAATCTCTAAAGAATGAAATAAAATATAAAAATAATAAGTTCTACACATTGTGTACAACAAAGCTACTTTTGGAAGATACTGGGCATGTATCCCTGAAAAGGACATTTTTCCACAAGAAAATCCATTTTATAAGCTCACTTGCATCCGCTCCTTTATTCTCCTGCTTTCCTCAGTGGCTGGGCTGCATTTATCTTTCTCTGAGTCTCCTTGCCATCAATATATCCATCTATCAGGCTTTAAAACTCTACTGTTCATTATTGATGATCAGCAGAAAAACAACTGGTGGGTTTTCCTGTAGTCACTGTGAACTTCTTCAAGGGAAAAAAATGGCTTTTAAAAGTACAATAATTTGAAGAGAGATATTTATATACACCTACTCTAAAAGTTTATTACACATCTTCTGGATGTAGCATTCCAGAGGAAACTGCAGGGACTGACCTTTGCAGGCACTGCACACTGAAGGTGTGGCTTTTTCTCAAAGGCATTTGCAGCAAATACTTTGTGCTTACTCCCATGCACATCTGTAAATGGACATCAAATGCAGATACTAATTCATTAAAAGTAAGAATAATCTCTGATGTCCTTCTTTTAATTTCCATATTGGGCAAAGTAATTGTATATTTAACTTGGAGGGGATTTGCTGTGGCCTAAGCACTTTATCCATCAGTGCTCCTGCAGTTCTGGAATTCTTCTCTTCAGGATCACATTTCAGAGAGGAAAATATTATATTCATACTTGAGACCAGTTTGGAGTTGGAATGTTGACAGGGCTCTGTAAGGTGGAAATGCTGATAGACAGAACCAACATGTGTTTTGTCAATTCTGTTCTAATGTTTTTTCCATTTGGCTTGGCACCAGACACAAGGATAAATTCTGCTCATACTGGTTTGAAAGTATGTAATTTAAGAAACTCTTCAGCTAGATAATTATATTTTCATATTAAAGAGTATGGCATCAGTGAAAGATTAATCTTATCTGCAGTTGTTGTGAACTGGGCCATGATGTGTATTGCAGTGCATTTTATTAATATGAGGTGATAAATAATTCAGGCTGAAATTTTTGCTTTCTGATTTTGGTACTAATTAGGCATGGCCTGAAAAAGATCAGAAAAGTTCAGGATCATGGAACTTCTGAAGGTTCTCCTGCCCACTCACACCAAACAGAGAATTCACGTGGCTTTCTGATCCTAATAGCCACAAAACTTCATCTGAAACAGCATATTCTGTATGTTCATCCCAGACGTGGGACTCCCTCTTGATGTCTGTGTTTTATGTAAAGATCAAGGGGGAGATTGAACCCATTTTCTTTAAAGTGGTTTCAAGATGTTACTGATATAAACCTTCAGGGACTGATAGATGGTAAAAGCATGGAGGAGGACTGGCAAAAGAAGGAAAACGTCATGTCCAGAGTAACATACAATGTAAGGTAATAGCACTCTGCCATCCTTTTATTATGTCATGACTGCCACCCAAGACTATTATTCAGGATGATGACCTTCTGTGGATAGCAGCTGGGGGAAGGTAATTTTCAGGAGCTGAGTGTCCCTGGCAGATGGGAAGATGATGAAGAGATCCCCACGTCTCAAGCAGGAGATCACAAAGCTGTGCAAACCAGCTGGATGCATTAATAAGCACAGAGGCAGCAAGCTGCTCTGAGCCTGCACATCCCCTTCCCTCAGGGTCCGTGGGGAATTGCACTCCTGCAGCCAAAGGCAGGGGTGGATCAGCCCTGGAGGGGGTGGTGGTACCTGGTGTTAGTGCTGTAAATCACCCAGCAAGGACTCAAGTGCAGGGCACATGGTGTCACCAATAGCTTTGGACACAGCACACCAAGAGCAGAAGCACAAAGCTGCATTGGCAAAATGGTCTCACGTGGCACAAACAAAGTAAAACTTGGTGAAATGTTGGCCAAAATTAGGTCTGTGACCTGCTGATGCCATGCAGAGCTGCATTTCCTCCCACAGGAAGGAAATGTGGGATGCAGTGACACTGAGAGCTCAGCCTTGCACTGGATGGAGTTCTCCAGGTTGGACATGTGTAACCTCAGGTATACAAAGAGTACCCTAGAAATCCAAACAAGAGGTGCTCATATCTAGTGCTATTAAAAAGGAAAAGTCTTGCTCTCAAGGATCAAATCTTGATTGCTTAGGCTGTTTTTTAAGGATTAATAAGAATCTCTTTCTCCATCTTTGCTGTGCATTTTAGGTACAGACACTTCTGTGCTTGCAGCTCTGTGTGTGCACAGGTGCCTTAGAGCTCCCAGCACACCAGACATTTGTGGAAGAGGTGTTACTTTATGTACACTCAGGTTGAAGTCAAAATGCTCAGTTCTAATTACATTTGTTTAATTAGGGGTCTTACACACACTGAATCCACAGAGGGAATGGAAACACAGAAATGCTGCATGATTGAGCAGCTCCTGGAAGTCCTGGATGAGCCTCATCCGTCCCACGTGCAACCTCCTCTCCTGGATGCCCAAGTGACAATGATGAGGTTCTAAATTTCAGTTAGACTCCTCTTAATTAATACTTAATCTGAAAGTGGACAAGGAAGGAGCAGCTGCCTTGGTGGCCTTGCTGGGTGAGCAGGATGACAGTGCTGCTGTGCCACGTGTAGTGCTGTGCCTTTGGAGATGACAGCTCCAGCCAGGCCCTGTGGGGATGCAGGATGAACTTCAAACCCCCTCAGCTCAGTCCCACCTCAGGCAGCTGCTGGCAGCAGGTTTTGTACCAGAAATGGCTCCCTCACAGGTTCCAACTGGTTAAAACTGTTAAACTTTAGCTGCTTCCCTCAGTAATCCCTCAGTAATTAAATTAGAGCTGTTGGCCTGCCCTCTAATTTCTGGAGGTGCTCGACCAGAGCCAGGTAAGACTCTCTGGGAATACAGACCCCTCCTGCCCCCAAGACCTGAGTCCATCCCAGACTGATCACAGGAGAGCCACAGCCCTGGCTGCTCCTCATGCTGAGCTCTGCTCCCCCTGGGATGAGCCAATGTGCTCCAGGTTAATTGTGGCAGCGTGTGTTTTGTTACCCTTTCAGCTCTTACACTGGGATTAAATGGGAAGTGATCTGCAGGGGAATATATTCCACTCCTTTAAATGCTAAGGTCAGTTAACATCCTGTTTATCTGAATTCCTTTAATCTGAAATGCTGTCTTATCTGCATCTTGTTCTGCCTTTTTTCTTGTGTGGTGCTCTGGTTTTGCAGAGCTGCTGTGGTGATGGTATCTCAGTTCCCCACTGAGCTGGGGTACCCAGAGGCTTCTCTCAGTATCCAAAGCCAAAGTTTATTCACTGTATTTTAACATCCCAAAGATATGTGGGGAAAATTAGCCTGGTGCTGTAGATATGAGATGGTGCACATAAAAGTGTGCATCCCGTAGTTAATCATAAAAGAAGCCCATATAGATTTTCCTTAATTAATGAGGATGGCAAACACAGGTATGCAAATGATGCATGCTGCTGAGGAACAAACATCTTGTTATTACCTTGGTGCTTTACACCTTCAGGTTCCATTCCTGGCTCACAAGAGCAGCTCCCCTCTTTGCTGTTCCACAGGAAATCAAAACACACATTTCACTGTCCTTTACAACCTCGATAACTTTCACACATTGCCAGCAACACAAACCCTGATTGTGTGTGCCCCTGTCCAGAGCTCCAGCAGGGGCTGTGGGAGTCTGGAGCTGCAGGATTTCACCCGGGGGGTCTGAAGGAGGGATGGGGTCAGTGGGAGTCTGGAGCTGCAGGATTTCACCCGGGGGGTCTGAAGGAGGGATGGGGTCAGGAGGTGCTGCTGGGCATAGACCAGGGAGCTCCAAGGGACGAGGCTGCAGGGCTGGGAGCATTTGCAGGCTGGCAGTGACATCTGCACTGTCACTCAAACACAGAAACATGTTTCTTGCCTCCTGTGGACACATTAATTCAGGAAAACTGATAAGCCTGTTACTCGAGGGAAAGCCTTTTTGAATTTT